GAATTGCTAAATTCTTTTAGTTTTGGTTGTTCAATATTTCATATCCTTTTATTTTGATTGATGTTGAGTGCTATTATCTTTTCATGAGTTCAATTATATTTTTATCATTGTTAAGAACTGACTTGGCATGCTTTTAAATTAAAAGAGTAGATATTAAGCAACTCCATTTTCTGAACAATCATTAATAAAATATTACATTGAAAAATTAAATTGGTTTTAATTTCTTTATCTTCCGGTTAAAGTTTCTCAATGATGATTTTAATCGAGTTATAATTTGGATTAAAGAACATGAAATATATTTTGTTTAAAGAATTGAACCTTGATGCCTTAGCATTTCCATTATTGATATTTCATTTTTAAACTCAATTTCCACAAAGTCAAATTACTTTATCCATATTGCTTGTCACTTTTATTGTGGTACGTTTAATTATTTCTTTGTGTGCAGATATTTGCCTACCTGCTCCTTGAGGATACGATACTTGGACTTCCAAGGTTATTACTACGTGTGACTACTTGCACTTGGGTATACGCAACAATAACTCTAAAAGCTCTAATTAATCCCTAAAAGGACTTGGAAATGACTTTAATGTCTACATGATAAAATTTTTGATAAGTTGGTCTCTATGGCGTCCTCCATTTTGGCCATTCAAAATGAGTTGCCTCAAATTAGCAATCTCATCTCGAAATGCCAATATTATGATTGACCATAGGTGTTGCTACTGAATATGAAGGTGGATTGATATGTCTTTCATCCACTTCCTCTTCAGTCTCATCCCTAATATGGATATGTTCTTGTTGTCTTGCACGACCTCCTTTTGCTCTACCATTAGTGACATAATTACCATATCTCGTCTCCATCTATCTGTATTAACACCCCTACCAGGACCATTTCTTGGAGGCTTTGGAGGTATTGCAACTTCACCATGCATTGGAGCTTGGTATCTAAGTTTAGTAACGATTATAGCCTCTGATCATACTGGTGGAGCCTGATTGTTGTTACTATTAGTTAGTTGAATCACAATATCTACCACAGCAGCAATTTGAATGTTCACTAGTGGAAGGTGAACAACAAGTTGTTGAGTAGGTGAGGAATTTCCATGGCCACTTGACTGGCCTGTAGTAAATCCTCTCATTTCCATAGTCGTATTTAGTAATCTGCATGTGAGATCACCACTAAGTGGACTATTACAACTTTTGTCACTTTGGTTTGCCATGTTGTTGATACTAGCTTCAATTCTTCGACTCTTAATAGTAGTTTCTAAAAGATTGTTGAGCTAAACCTCGTGTAAGAGCTTCTCCTGGTTGAGCAAAGTTTGTATTCATAGTGGTATATATACTATCAATAAGAGTGTAAAGCATAGGCTCAGTTCTCGCAAACTCATCGAAGGTTGCACTTAGCTACTGAGTTGACACATTTCATATCCCTATTTTCCATGTGAAGTCATTTTATTGGGATTTGGATTTGAGTTTACCATGTATATTTTCGTCTTGTATGTCTAACCATGCCCAAAGTAATCCCACCGGGCATGCCAAAAATATGTTTACTTCATTGGAGAGAGATGTGGGATGAGGCACGTTGAACAATGTTCTAGCCACAACTCTTGTTGGATCAATTCAGCAAGTGATTTTTCTTAAGGCCCAGGTAAGAGGTCTCGAAGTGATCCAATATGTTGTTTGCATAACTGTCCCACTGTCAGAACTTGGCTTAGCCCAATAAAAAGAGATTGATTGGTTAAATATATATTCTTTAGTAGTTTGCACGTTATAATATGGCTCAAATTAGTCATTGATTGGCCCCAACTTTTTCTCAAGCATTCGCTTTAGCATTTTGTTGACTGTTTCGACTTAGCCATTGGCATGGTGATGCATAGGTGAGGAGAAGCGTAGGTTGATTTGAAGGTTCGAGCAGAATTCTCTGAATTTCTTATAGTTGAATTGCTTGTCATTGTAGGTGATGATGGTATGGGGGACGCTAAATCGACAGACTATGTTTCTCCATACGAAGTTCTAGACTTTGACGAATATGATGGCTACTAGGGGTTTGGTCTCGACCCAATTTGTATAGTAGTCCACGACAACGACTATGAAGCTTTGTTGCCCTTTCTCTTTGGACATTGGACCTATCAGGTCTAGTTCCCATTGATCAAAAGGCCAACGGCTAGTCATAGTGGTGAGGCGCTCAGGTGGTTGATGAGGGATGTTGGCGAAGAGTTGGCAAGTTTGGGATTCTAGTGAGACATTTGGCATTTGTGTCCATAGTGGGCCAAAAGTACCCTCGACTTATAACCTTTGTTGTCATTGATTGGGATGCAGCGTGATCTCCACATATTCTTTCTTGGATTTCCAGGAGTGCCTCACATTCTTTCTCTGGAGTTACACATAGTAATAGCGGGAGGGAGTGGCCTCACTTGTACAACTTGCCCTCAAGGATGACATAGCGAGTTACTCGCATTCTTATTTGTTGAGCCTAGGCCTGGCCTGGGGGCAAGGTGCTGCTAATAAGGAAGTTCCAAATTAGGGTCATCCAGTTGGGTGCATCATCGACCGCCATAACTATGGCTTGGTTATATTGATGCCTCTTTTTGTGAGGTATTCAATTGGCACAGTGCGGGTTATTCTGAGTCTAGAGTTGAGGCTAATCTCTAAGGCTGGGCACGGTCTGGTTCGACCTGGTTCTTAGCTAAATTCAGAACTAGAACCGTACTGTTCATTTGGTCCGATCCAGTTCAATTCTGATAAAAAACTAATTACTTAACCAAACCAACTCGAACTAGTTAAAATCTAGTTCAGTTCCGATTTTCTCGGTTTGGACCGCAAATAATCCCAACTCAGCTTTTTTTTTTTTTTTTTTGCTTTGGATTTTTCAAACTTTAGGCCCAACCACTTGTTTTCAAATTTTGGGCTTAGAAAGTCAACTGACTCAATTTCTAATCATCCAAAATTAAATCCATCAAACATTAAATTTAATTTTACATCCCAACAACTAGGGGTGGGCATCAATCCGGCCGATCTGGTTACACCGGCAGAACTGATTATATTGGTTTGGTTTGGTTTTGACCAAAGAAAAAGTCAATAGTTTCTAAAATCAATCCGAACCGGTTTGGTTCGGTTCGACTGCGGTTTGAGAATTTTGTAAACTGTCCTAAACCAAACCGGACCGATTATAAATAAATTTATTATTTTTTAAATATATTTTACATGTGGCAAGGCTTGAGTGGTTATTTGTAAGTGTTATCATGCGCCATTCCGCACATGATTGGACTCTAAAAACTTAACTCAAACTCACGGATCTCTCTGTACCTTTCCCTCACATTTCTCTCAGGCTCTCCTTTGTTTCCTAACCCTAGCTGCACACAACACTCACTCATCACATCATTCATCTCCATCTTCATCACCTTTGGCAGACAATGTCATCACCTTTGGCCTCTTCGTCTCCCCAGTGTAAGTTTTTTTTTTCTCTCTCTCTCTCTCTCTCTCTCTCTGTGTAGATTTGATGGTTTTCTTGTTCAAGTTTCTGATTTGGGTTCATATCTCTCATGGGTTTTGACTTTAATTGGTTCATAACTTCATATCTCTCATGTTTAATGTGTTGTAATGTTTAATGAGTTTGAATGTTTAAATTTCTATTTTTTCTTTTTTCTGTGAAATTACTGAATCTTCTCATTAGTTAGATATATATGGGTCTTCATTTTGTCTTTTTTTTTTTTGGCTGAAATTAGTGGGTCTTCTATTAGATTAGCTCATCAAAATTTGTTTGGGTGCTAACTATCCTGTGATGAAGAAAATGATTGGGAGAGGGAGAGAGGTGGGCTCTGGTGATGTGTGGATGGGATTTGCAGAAGTTAAAAGAGAAGATGGGTATTTGATTAATATATATAAGGTGGTGGGGAAGGGAGAATACTGTTTAAGTTTATTTTTTCTCAATTCATCATTTTAATTTTTTTAAAAGAAAACTCTTTTTATACATTATTCTATTTTTTAAAGATTATTACGTTTTGATGTTTGTTGATATTTTGATGAAAAATCTGTGATTGTGTTTTTTATATAGGTTTTGCTTCTAATAATCCAGCAGCTACGGATGAATCTGCAGAAGGGGTTGATTTCTATTTGTATTAATTAGTTGGATGTTAAAGTTTATTTCTATTTGTACCCAAATATGGGATTGTATTTGAACTTTGTGTTGATGCCTAAAATTGGTTCAACAGAAGATGACCTCTTCGAGATCGAGGTCGGGCAATTCTTCCAGACTAGGTTAGCGTGACCAACCAAGTCGTCCTCCAGAACTTGTAAAACAAGATAGCCTCTGTGGGTGACACCGGTGTGGTGCCGGCCAAGGACCCTCCGATGCTTAAGTCAGTCGAGTGTTTGAGAGTAAAATCACACAATAGGTTCTAGTGCTTAGAATTGCATACCTTTTACGAAGGATGACCTTAGCCTTTTATATCATCCCAGACGACCTAATCCTTCTCGGAGTGGGACTCCAGAGCAAACCAGCTCTCCTCGAATTAGGACTCTAGAACATCCTAATCCTCCTCGGACTAGGACTCCATTTAGATTGGCATCTTGGTGATCCCGAAACATCCCAACTTCCTTGGGATTGGGAGTGCTTTGAGTGAACACAGCGTAAATCAAACTCATGTGCACCGAGGCTGAGCACAAATGGGCCCACAAGTCCACACGGGTCAGGGTGGAAAAGTATAGGGTGACCAGGCTCAAGCCCAGCCCGACTACTAACACCGTGGTCTAGCCCAGCTCGACCACTAACACCGTGGTTTGGCCTAGCTCGGCCTAGAGGTATTTTACCTCACAAACACTTTGTTTTACTGGAAATTTGGTTAACTTTCCATGTTTGATGTATTGGAGATTTGGTTAACTTTCCATGTTTGATGTATTAGAGATTTGGATTATATAATGAAAATGCTGATGTTTGCACCTGTATCAGTTTCTGTTTTAGGATGTTTGTTAATAGGTTCTTTGTTATTATAAGACATTTTGTTTTATAGCTAAACCGGCCGAACCAAACCGCACCAAACCGGATATGAATTGTTTGGTTTGGTTTGATTTTCATTTTGATTTTAACTCAAATCAAATCACACCGAACCGTGAAAGTTTAATTGGTTCAGCTGTGGTTTGAGGGTGAAACCGGACCAAACCGGACCGTGCCCACCCCTACCAACAACAAACAAATACATAATAAATCATATTTAATTACAACTAAATTGCTGAAAAATAACATTCAACTGCTCCATATTTTTCAGGAATACTTCACGACTCTTTAATCTTCGCTGCTCCTAAATCAACAACACATTCTTTAATCTTCTCCATTAGATCTTCCCTTCTTGCAGAATTTCAATGGCACCATATATGCAAAAAAAAATAAAAAATAAAAAAATAAAAATTCAACAACCACAAGAAACCTCTAAAAACCCAATTGTTGTCATCAGAGCAAGATATATAGTTAGCTGACCAAGATATACAACAAAACCCAAGATAGTCCCCGTTTGGTCATTCAACCTCACAGCCACAAAGTGGTGGCTCTGCATCTTCAAATTCCCACCCATCAGCACCAAATCAACCTCTTTGCTTCTTCTTCCTCTTGTTTCCTCTTTACCCATCTCATATCTAATCATCCAAATTGAAATCCCATTTCTATAGTATAAAAAGAGATAGACCCATTACTTAAAAAGAAGAATTCTCAATTCTCAAGAGACAAGCATGGCTCTCAATAGATGGAGAAAATAAAACTCAAATTTCAAAGTAGTTTTTCTATTTCTCTCTCTCTCTGAAATTGGTCTATCTGAGGCTATGAATTCTAAAAAAGAAAGATTTCAAGGAATTAAAAAAAAAAAAAAACAGAGTTCTAATCATGCCATCTCAAAGCGTGAAGTTTAATTAGAGGCATCCAGACAAAGGAGCACGTTCACTTTTTTTCTACCATATAATAATGGAAGCCTCAAATTGACCCGAAAACAAGTCCCCAAAATACAATCAATTGATATATATAAAAAAATAACCACATCCCAACAAACCCATATCTCAGCATCAATACAAGAACAAATGTACAAATATGTATGACAAAAACAAAACCCAAATTTCTAAGACACTGACCTGATTAAGCCACTGGCAGGAGGAACGTAGCCGTCGTTGCTACTGAGCTGAGAGCGAAAATGAGAGAAGAAGGAAGAAGAAGAGGAGGAAGGAGAATGGAAGAGAGAGAGAGAGAGAGAGAGAGAGAGAGGCATTTACGGCTAGGGTTGGACTTTGGTTGATGTATAGTATAAAACGTTCATTTCAACAATAAAAAAGAGTATAAAAGATTAATTTAAAAAGGTTGGCTGCTAAAAAATAATAGCATAAGACGTTGGGCTTGAGGTAATCGATATGTTTAGGCCCAATTGAAGCTGGGAATGGATGGAAGGTTAAGGTAAAAGCCCATTGTATATATAAAATATAAATAAATTATATTAATTATATTCAAGCCAGTCTAGTTCAGCCCGGTCCAATTTTTTAAGACATGGAACCGAAACCAGAACTAGCTAGTTACAGTCTGTTCAGTTGTTGACTTTTTGGTCAACTCATTTTTTTTCGGTGTGGTTTTGCTCGGTTTTTCAGTTTGCCAGTTTGAATGCCTACCCTTACTAATTTCGCCAAAGAGTCGGCTTGGGTATTCTTTGCCCTAATGATTTTGGTAATGGTATACAATTGGAAAGAGGAGATGAGATCCTTGACCTTTGCCACGTAAGCGGTCACCTAGTTGACCACTAGTTGTGAGTCGCTATTAACGTCGATGTGTGCAACAGTGAGCTCCTTTGCCAATCGGAGCCCAGACAAAGGTCGTTGTTAGAAACTTGGAAATGGAATCAAATGGAATATTCTACCTTAGCTCTGTCGAACGAGATCAAGACCAGGCTGGCTCCGCAGGCTTGTTGATTTGATGCACCGTCAACATACAAGACCTATCGTGGCTGCGCCATGGTAGCAGGGGTGATATCCGTTGTGGTTAGTGGTGGGGTGGGCGCCGGGTGAATCCTGGTTTCTTGCTACTCACTTACGAATGTCGACAGGGTAAACTCTGAGATGAAGTCGGCAATAGCTTGGGCTTTTATGGTCGTTTGTGGTTGATATTCAATATCGAATTCACCTAGCTCAACAGCTGATGAGCTGACATGGCATTTTTAGTTTTCGCAAGGCATGGTTGAGTGGTTGGTCGATCAAAATGACGATAGAATGTGCTTGAAAGTATGACCTTAATTTTCTAGCTGAGACCACTAAGGCCAGTGCTAAGCATCGAGCTAAGGGCTAAGGTAGGTCTTCTACTCTAGTAGTGCTCGACTTGCGTAATACACTGGGTGTTGTATTTTATTGCGTTCGGGAGTAACTGGTCGCCTCGCGGAGGAGATTTTTGTATGTTTTAGGGGATTCCTGATGAGGGAAAAAAAGAAATCTCTCCGTGGATGCCCTCCATCATGGCGATATGAGTTTTATCCTTATCGCAACCTTCACATCGAGCATACTTGTTATTGAATCGAGTGATGTAATCCCTAAGTTTTTAATCGGGTTGCTGTTTGACTGCTGGTAAATCATTTGTGATGTACAACCAATTAAAGATTATCATGTATCACTTCAAGAAAACCTTTCTAAGTTCGACGAAAGAACCAATTGATTCAGAAGCAAGCCGTTTGAATGAGATCATAGCATGGCCTTTGAGCGTGGTCGGGAACATGCGACACTTAGTTGCCTCATTTACTTGCCTCCTTCCATTGTGTGATGAAAATTGTCCAGATGGTCATAGGGGTCGGTCATCCCATCATACAATGGAATATTTGGGGCTTTCGAGTCTCCTCGCATCCTGTAAATTGTGGGTGTTGGGTAGTGGAATTTCTTCCTCATTGAAATATGGCCCCTTAGGCATATTTGATTTCTCCACTTAGTTGAGCTCATCCCACACGCTTTTCAGCTTGCCAATGACCAAGTCCTTGAGCATGGAGGTTATGCCACCAATACCATCCTCTCCTTAGTTCGTCTCAACAGTGCTCTTCTATTTACACTCCCCACTTAGGTGCCCATGCTACAGTTGATCTTGATGAGGCCTTAGTGTCCGTCAACACTACCCGCTGTTTGGGGTCGGCACTAGGATTGCCATTTTGTTCTTGTTGGCCTCATGTTGCAAATTTACCCTCTTTGCCAGGTCTTCTTGAATTACCTCATTCTGTAGGCGGATGATGTTGCTGAAGCTATGGACATCCTTCACGCCTTTTAGGATTCGGCTAATTTTGTTTTCCAAGTTGTCGAGACGATCCATTTGCTGCCTCTTCTTCTTCCGTCTCTAGAAGTTTTTCTCGGTAGAGCCTAAAAAAGCCTTATTTTTCAAGCTTTGGTTTTGCATGGTTTGGTTTGTTCGTGTTGGACTTCAGTAAGGGAATGAGACTTTTGTTTGCAAATTCCCACTGACAGTGCCAAATGTTGACTGATACGAAATCAGTTAGCCAACTAAGATCTTAGCCTGGGCCTAGATCGGATGTGAATAAGGCTAACTCTACGCAAATGGACCTTCTTCAATTACCTAGGTGATCTGCACAACGTTAAGAATAAGTTATCAAAGATGCATTGGTGTGGTACTAGCCAAACCTTCTTCGATGCCAAAGATAGAAGTAGAATGAACTAATATTTAGGAAAGTGAATGAGTAGTGTTTCTGGATAGGGAAAAATTTATTACCTTTGTCTAGTTGTAGATGAGGGGTATTTATAGGAGATGAAGAGAAGGCATATCCCCTTCAATCCAGCACAAGAAGATCTTCAGCCACTCTCATACTAGGGTGAAAAGGTGGCTCTAGGCATTGGTTACTATACTGGTTATCAGAGGCCAATGGTTGGATGACACATGAAATTGATTATAGGTGTTGTAAATGTCTTCTCCACCCATAAGTCGACACATGTGCGTATGTAATTGGGAAGGTAATATGTGGCGAGGCGTCAGTCCACCTCAGTCCTTTCCCATGTGACATTTGGGTGAGAGGAAGATTGGGTGCAAAAATGGTTTACAAGTGTGGGAGTTGAGTGATCCCATGAGAGCCGACCCTCCAAATCGACTATTAGGGTAAGCCCCATAACATGGCAATAGGTCAGGCTGGTGTAAGAATAATTTGTCCTAGCTAGCCTATTGGGATGAGTCGGTATGGCTTGATAAAAAAGGCGACCAGGTCAGTGTAACATGTATCATTCATTTATCTACATGGTCTTGTTTTATGGGCTTGGCGATAAAACCTGTCAACGATGTTAGAGAGAATACTGGAGTGCAATTGATGATGACGAGCATAGGCTCTTTTGGTTGTATTCTTTGTATATATTTTTTTCACTACAACGCTTGGGTTGGTGTTCTAAACAATTGGGACATATAACATAGTCCCATGGCTCATTAAAGTCCTAGATGATTCATGAGACTCTACTAGTTGTCCAAAGTTGTTCAGAAGCATCACCCAAATGTTGCTTTGAAAAAATTTACAATCTATTCTTGTCACCATTAATTTCAATCTAATCTCCTCTCTAACACCAACCTCATCAACTTGCCTACCATCTTCTTCTCCATCTTTCACTAGCCCCATTTTCTTGCCATTGTTCTTTTCCTCCATGGTAAAATTATGCACTCTTTGCTCTCTATTTAAGTTCCATTTTCTTGAAAAAATTTCTCTAATTTTCTCAACAATTGGAATCACCAAATAGACCCATGCCAACCCCTTCATGTAACTTCAATTTGATAATAAAAACATAATTCTAAGAAACAGTTTATAATAAATCTTAACTTTTTTGGTCGCTAGATTTTACACAAAAATTCAATTTGGTCACTGAGAATTTTTTTTTAAGTAAAATTGGTTACTATGTTTCCCAAAGTTTACAATTTATAGACATTCTATTATCTTCCGTTAATTTCCTTTAAGTGCAGTTTTTAATTTTATGTTTTTACGAGTTGTGGTACATTATGCTATTAGGGTTTAACAAATTGGGGGAAATCTTGGGTTGAAATCGGAATTGTGAGGTATAGCCTCATAGATTGGATGCTATATTGAAGCTTGAATCAATTGAGTGAAAAGTGTATTATGACTTCATATGGCAATAAGACGTAATCAAAGATGATAGAGCATAAAAAATATATTGAAAAGTTGTTGATTTCATTTTAATTTCATTTGCCTTTTTTATTGAGAGAAATTTTGGGTATAACGTATTTCCCTCATAGGGGAAGAAGTCTGAAGGTGATTCCGGAAAAAAAAATAAAATAAAATAAAATAAAAAAAAAAATAAAAAAAAACTGCACTTAACGGAAAATAAAGAAATGTCTATAAATTGTAAACTCTGAAAAACACATTGACCAATGTGGCTAAATTTTTTTTTTCAGTTACCAAATTGAATTTCCAAGTAAAACCCAATGACCAAAAAAGTATTTAACCCTAAATCATAATATACATGGCTAGACAATTAGAATAATTTATGTAATATTGTATGTGTACCTACCTAGCGTTCAATAGTATAATAATTTTTTTTTTTGTTGGTGAAATGCCTTTAATTAAAATCGTGGAAAAGGGCCTTGACTTAGATATAAGAGATCTCAAGTTCGAATTCCCATGACATCTTAGTTGTGTGTATATATGTATGAGAAATCATATCCTTGTAATTTAGACCATCGTTTGTACTAAAAATAAAAAATAAAAATTATGAAGAACGTTTATTATTATTTTTTGGTACGTGATTAGTGGTATAATTCCATTTCTTATTTTCAAATTAAATTAAAATTTTATTTTTTTGTAATTGGAGGTCAAGTTAGCACACTAATAACTAAAAAGTACTATTTTTTTTATAAAAAAAACTTACAACGTCAAAGTGTCTCTGGTTCCACTTTCAATTTGATCCAAAATTTTAGGATTTGTTTCGATCGTATCATAATTGATTGCTCCCTTTGATAATTTCTCGTTATATTATCCTCGGGGAAGCATTCGAAGTTCCAATTCAGCATAGAGGTTTAGGGTTCGTAAAATGCCATGGCTGCTAACGTGCTCGAAGCTGACGCTTTTCACCATAGCCGGTGTTGGGAGTTGCGATTCAAATGGTTGGCCTCTCCATCTTCGTCTTCGGCTTCTTCCCTGTCAAACCAACCCTACCTGGACACAGGTACTCTGGTTTCTTAGAATAATACCAAGGATCATAGAAATTGAAACATCAACAACCAAAAGAAAACAAAGCACTTTTTTTTTTTTTTTTTTGTCTGAGTTGGTT